TGTAAATCTCCTAAAAAATAAATCTTGACAACTGTTGAACACTTTATAAAATATATTTTTCTTTGTTTTGTTCTAGAATAATCAATTATATCATGCAGTGTCAAATTTATGTTTAACATTATCTGAGGATAGTAAACATCTTCGAATGAGTACATGTGATGAAAATAATCCACGTCATAAATGGTCATGGAAACGAAAACCACTCGTCGAAACAACTAAAGTTTAAGAAAGAGAATTTTTTTTTTTCAATAAAAGTTTTGCTCACACATCTCATTATTCGTTTTTCCGAAATTATATAGAATAATAAGTGTGGGTGTGCAATATCTGGTACTAAACGTTATGTTTTTGTTTTTGTTTTTTATTTTATATTATTCTGTGATTATTATTTTTTCTTTCTCTTCTATTGTGTTCTACTCATATTCAATTTTTGTTTTATTTTAACAATAGTTGACAAATTTCATACTTTTCTCTCTCTTTCTCAGTTTGTTTTGAATTTTTTTTTTAAATATAATTGTGTTCACATGGGAATAAGATAATAAAACATAGTTCGTGAATATTGATTAATATTATCCTTTGAATATATTTATTTGTTTTTGTTTTAATTAAATTAGATGGAAAATGAAATTTTTTTAAGAGAATTTTCGCAAGACAAACAAGATGATAATCGAATAGGAAAAATTCTTTTTTTACAACGTCTTATTCGTTCGCATTATGTTCGTCGACAATTTCAACAAGTTCGCAATGAATATTTGAAAACACTAAGTGATATCGAAGGTGAAGTTACGATAAAACCAATTGAAATTATTCCAACAAAACAAGAACCTTCAAAGCAAAAAAGTAGAATTAAATCTAGTATTTCATTTTTTTTTTTGTATAACATATTTTATTTTTAGTTGTTAGTCTTCCAACAAAAGATGAATTATTAAAAAAACGTGAAGAAATCGCAATTGAACTCCTATGGATTGAACAAGCTATACAAAGTCGAAAAGATTATTTACGTTTAAAATCTCGTTATACAACTTCTGTTTCTTAGAAAATAAATTTTTTTTGCTTTTTTTTGTACAAATATTTAAAAAAAAGCATAGAAATGAATACAATTTGTTTTGATTTGTTTTAAGATGATCCCTGAATAATTATTGAAAAGAAAAATGAGTGGTGTTCAATTGAAACGATTACTTGTTGCATTAAATCGAATTAAGCAACATGGTAATGACCAGAAGAAATCGATAGAATTTTTCAGAGAATAAAGCTACTTGTTTTTCTTTTGTTTTTCTATTTCAAGGTTATATCCCAATTTGTAAACAATCGACAGCTGCTCAACCTAAAAAGGAACCAGAAAAAATAGAAGTATTCGTTGATGGCAAACCTGTGCAAGTTGAACCCAATACAACTGTACTTCAGGTAAAAGATTATAGAATATAATCTAAAAAATAACAGAAATTAAATATCTCCTCATCAGTATTTTATCCTGGTTTTCTCTTCCTGAAGAGACAATTCATATCTTCAGGATTGCAAATATCTACTTTCGGGAGGGCGAAGTTAATCTGTGGAACGGTATCGCCGTCCTATTGCCCACTAGAAATGTGTAAAATACGATCTAGAGAAAACTATTTCAAAATATATTAGTATTACATCTTAAAAAATTCTTCAATAATGAATAGATATGTTTGTTCTTATCTAGGCTTGTGCTGTTGCCGGTGTTGAAATTCCTCGTTATTGTTATCATGATCGCTTATCAATCGCTGGTAATTGTCGAATGTGTCTTGTTGAAATCGAAAAAACACCTAAAGTATTGCAGTCTATTTGTATATTTATTTTTATTACTGATTTATATGGTTTTTTTTTCTAGCCAGTTGCTAGTTGTGCAATGCCTGTTATGAAAGGTATGCGTATTTTAACTGATTCACCAATGACAAAACGAGCACGTGAAGGTGTTATGGAATTTTTACTTGTTAATCATCCGTTGGATTGTCCTATTTGTGACCAAGGTGGTGAATGTGATTTACAAGTAAGTTTAACCATTAAAAATATCTATAGGTTATATACATATATATGTTTTAATTTCTAGGATCAATCAATGGCATTCGGTAGTGATCGTAGTCGTTTTACTGATAATGAATTTTCTGGAAAACGGTATAATTGAAAAAAATTTTCTTTAAACGAACAAAAAAAACATGTAATATTTCTTTTTAGATCAGTGGAAGATAAAAATATAGGTCCACTTATTAAAACAAGCATGAATCGTTGTATTCATTGTACACGTTGTGTTCGTTTTGGTAATGAAGTAGCCGGAGTTAGTGATCTTGGTACAACAGGACGTGGTAGTGATATGATTATTGGTACATATGTTGAAAGACTTTTTATGTCAGAACTTTCGGGTAATGTTATTGATTTATGTCCCGTTGGAGCATTAACATCAAAACCATATGCATTCACGGCACGACCATGGGAAATAAGGTAAAAAACAAACATTATTTCTTTTAATTGATAGTCTAATTTTTTTTAATTTTTTTTTCTATTAAGAAAAGCAGAATCAATTGATGTCATGGACGCATTAGGTAGTAATATTGTCGTACACTCACGTACTGGACATGTCCTTCGTATACTTCCACGAACACATGAAGTAATATTGAATAAAGACGAAGTTTTCATTCCATTGAAATATAATATTTAGGAAATTAATGAAGAATGGATTTCGGATAAAACACGTTTTGCTTATGATGGTCTTAAACGACAACGTTTAACAGCTCCAATGTTAAAAAATCGTGATGGTTATCTTGTTCCATGTGATTGGGAAGATGCATTTAGTGTTGTTGCTGAACGTGTATGTTATCTGTATTTTTTTTTGTAAATATTATGTTTTTGTTTACAATGAATCTTTATATAGATTGGTCGAACAGGATCAGGTTCAAAGATAGCTGCTCTTGCAGGACGTTTTTGTGACGCTGAAGGACTTATTGCTTTAAAGGATTTTATGAATCAACTTGGTTGTGAAACTGTTTGTGTTGAAGAACAGTTTCCTAATGTTGGCGCATCGTATGTAGTTGTTTTTTTAATTATATTTCTAAATTTTTTCTATCTATTTTATATTTAGAATTGATCTCCGTAGTAATTATTTATTTAATGGAACAATTGCTGGCATCGAACAAGCTGATTTAGTTGTATTAATTGGAACTAATCCACGTTATGAAGCACCTGTACTTAATGCACGAATACGTAAAGCGTTAGTAGAATTTCTAATATTGTTAATATTTTTTCATAAAATATTTTATTTCCTGTTTTTTTTTTCTTAGTTGGACACATAATGATTTACAAGTCGCTGTTATTGGTCCCAAGATTGATTTAACATATCCATACGAACATTTAGGAGATAATACAAATGTTTTAAATGAATTAACATCTGGCAAACATGCATTTTCAAAAGTTTGTAGAAACGTATTTTGTTTGTATGTTAATTTTTGACATCAATTTTTTTTCTTTTAGACTTTAAATGGAGCAAAACGTCCATTGGTTATATTAGGAAGTGCAATGTTTGAACGTCCAGATGCAACATCAGTTTACGCAAATGCAGCACAATTATCAGAAAAATTACGCGATGTTTCTGCAAAAGAAGATAAAGAATGGCGTGTATTTAATGTTCTTCATCGAGTATGTTTTCTTTCGACAATAAAAAATCAAACTTAATTTTGAATTTATATTAATATTTTAGTATGCTTCACAAGTTGCAGCTCTCGATCTTGGTTATAAGCCAAATTATAAAGTATAAAAATTGTTTTACTTGTTATTTTGTGACAAATTGATTATTTTTATTTTTTCTTAAGAGCATCATTGATTTAAAACCTAGTCTATTGTATTTATTCGGTGCTGATGAAGGTTTAATTAAACGTGAAGATTTACCAAAAGATTGTTATATTATTTATCAAGGTATGAACATATGTAATTGTTAGAAAATATCAAAGGAAAAGATATCTTTAAATTATATATTAGATTCGTCTTACTGACTTTTGTTTCTTGTTTAATTATATAGTTCATTTTCTTAAAGAATCGCGCTATACATGCATAAGTTTAAGTATATGAGGGTTTTATTCTAGCAGGTAAATCTGAATATATATTCAGAAATAGAGAAAAATTCTGATTTTCTTCAAAGAAAAAGAATATTCATAGAATATTATTTATTAATTTTAGGTCATCATGGTGATCGTGGTGCAGAAATAGCTGATGCTATTCTTCCGGGAGCAGCATATACAGAAAAACAAGCTATATACGCAAATACAGAAGGTCGTGCTCAACAAACACGTTTAGCAATAACTCCACCAGGAAAAGCACGTGAAGATTGGAAAATAATTCGTGCACTTGCTGAAGTTTGTATTTGAATATCTTATCATTAGAATTCTGTTTGTTTTTTTTTCATCATATTTAGGTATGTGGTGTATCATTAAATTATAATGATCTTGATGAAATTCGTGATCGTATTGAACAAGTTGCACCAAATCTAAGACGTACAGATTCGATTGAAGAAGCAAATTATTTTAAACAAAATATTGAACTTTTAAAACAACATAAAACATCATTTAATAATCAACCATTAGTACCTCCAATAAATCATCTTAAAGATTTTTATATGACTGATTCAATAAGTCGTGCATCATTGACTATGGCTAAATGTGTTAAAGCTGTTGAACAACAATTAAAATCACATCATACAAATTAGATTAAAAAAAAACAACACAAACATTGACCGACTAGGTTTTGTTTTCCTCCCATTTCTTTTCTTTTTTGTATAAATCCTTCAACGTAGAATACTTGCCATTGTCATTTCTTTTTTTTTTCATCAATAAACAACAAACGAAAAGATACAGAAAAAAATTTCTGTTTCTGTTCTTATAATTATATTTTTTGAAATATTCTAGACTTCATTCTAAATGAAATATACTCTCTCAAATAAGATGTGTCTCTCATCAATTCAATATACTCATACAAGAAATTTATTTCTTATATCAATGAGTATGGTATATACATTTGCATTAGCATCATTATATTGGCAACAACCAGGTTTATATTCTGACAATGGTATATTACCACTTCGTTTACAAATTCGACAACATGAAAAAACAAATCTATTTATTGTTAAACTTGCACATTTATTTCATTGGACACCATATCGTATAATGGAATGTATTTTATTATTATCAATATTATTAAGTTCATTAATGATTATATTTAAATGTCTACGTACAAGTTTAACATTTTCAATACTTTGGTTATCATATTATAGTTGTTTTCAAATAGCTGGTCAATTTTTATATTTTCAATGGGATACATTATTATTAGAAACAGGTTTTTTAACAATATTTGTTGCACCAATGAGAATCTTATATATAAAAAAAAAACAAAATGAAGATTATTTATATCAAGATCGAATAACACTTTGGTTAATACGATGGTTAGCTTTTCGTCTTTTATTTGCAAGTGGAATTGTTAAATTAACAGGTGGTGATAGAACATGGTGGGCATTAACAGCAACAACATATCATTATCAATCACAATGTATCCCAACACCATTAGCATATTATGCACATCATGTACCTGTTTGGTTACATAAATTATCAACAGCACTTGTTTATATGTTTATGTCTGGTACGGGTATATTATTTTTTTCACCATTTCGTATACATCGTTTAATTGCTTTTAATGTACAAGTTTTTTTACAAATATTAATTGTATTAACTGGAAATTATAATTTTTTTAATTTATTAACAATTATCTTATGTTTTGGTTTAATTGATGATCAATTTTTGGGTTATTCACAATGGGAAACAATAGATAATGAACAAAAATCAAAAAAATCTTTTTCATGTTTATATATACTTTTTCGTCGATTAATTCATTTGATTATACTTATAACATATATTTATTTAACAATACGTTGGTTTGATATACATTGGAATAATAAACAAAAAATAATTTCAACAAAAATAACATTTACTCATGTCCAATTAGATCTTTTCTTACGAAGATTTCTACCTGTTTGCCTTTTTATTGCTTGGTGTTCGTTAATCTTTACTATTGGACGCTCGGTTTTTACTGCTATTTCTCGTCCAAAGAAAATTTATGCAAAAATTTTTCATTCCTTAGTTACTATGGCATATGGAGTTTTAGCTATGAGTTTATTTTTTGTATCAATGGTACCATTTACTGTTATTGAACGTAAAACAGGCAATGCTTTACCTCATGAATTACAATCATGGTATAATAAATTTCAAAATTATCATATTTTTAATGCTTATGGTTTGTTCAGAAGCATGTAAGTCATTTTATCTTTTTACTTTTCTTCAAACTTTTGTATTCGTCTCAATCAAGAATGTGAAATATGATATGATATTCTTAAGGAATCAGATATTTTCTTTCAGAGATTTCCAAAGATAGAATTTGTATCTACTTTTTTTTGGATTCAGTCTCGCGAGGGAACATATTCAACTGATCAATCATTTTTGAATTCGAACTCAACGCATAAGATAGAGACTAGTGAGATATGACACAGCTTTAAAAAGTTATTTCCTTTAGGTCTTCTATCCAGAGTTCTTTATCTTTTTAAGATTTTTCATATCTCACTAGACTTACACTTTCGATAAAACTTGTCGAATCTAATTTTTCAATGGATTTGATGAACATCATTATTGAGTTTATAATAAAAATTAGATACAAATAATTTAATAACGAAGATCCGACAGGTTCTATCGATTGTTAGTATCTGTTCCATTTCAAGAGCTAACTTTAACTGCTTTATTTCTCATTTTCACAGAAACATGACATAACTGTAAACTTGATCTGAAATGATAATTTTATTTTTAGGACTGGCGTTGATGGTCGACCAGAATTAATCATTGAAGGTGCAATAAGTACAAAAAAGTAAATCCACCAACGGATATATATATATTTGATTATTGTATTTATTTATTTAGTCCGAAATGGAAAGAGTATGAATTTTTCTATAAACCAGGTTCATTATCAGCTGCACCACCATTTGTTGCTCCACATCAACCTCGATTAGATTGGTAAATTAGATTGTTTACAAAAGAAAAATAATTGTTTGTTACATAATTTTCATGATTAATATCTTTTTTTTAGGCAAATGTGGTTTGCTGCTTTAAGTCATTATCAACATGAACCGTGGTTTGCATTTTTTCTTTATCGTCTTTTAACAAATCAACCAGAAGTTTTACGATTAATTCAAATAAATCCATTTCCAACAACACCACCAAAACAAATACGTGTTCTTCTTTATCATTATAATTTTACTACACCACCATCAAAAGATTATTGGAATCGTGAATTAATTAATAATGAATGGTTTCCAACTATTTCATTAGAAAGTCAATGGTTTATGTCTTACATTGAACAACAAAATATGTTACAAATAACGAAACCATTACCATCAAGCATTCTTTTAGATGTAATACGTTCAATAAGTAATTTTATGAATGGTACTATGTTTACATGGTTACCTGTCATTATTTCTCTGGTACTTGTTATTCTACGTAAAATTCTTTGTACGAAGCCTCATATACCAGTTTTAATGAAAAAAGACAACGACGGGTATCGACCTGTACCACTGAAAGATAAAAATAATTAACTGAAATCTCTCTTTTTCTCTCTCTCTCTCTGTCTCTAGTCGGCTAAAGTCAAAATTTTCTTTTGTTTGCTCATTATACGCTATGATTGTTGTGATTATTATTGTAGGTTCGATTAAAAATAATAAATAAAAGTTGTTTTCGTGAGTGCAATAATCAAATTCAATTTTTACCGTCAATAAAATGTCAACATTCAAATAAATTCTTTCAATAATAAAATATAATCTAATATGTGATAAAGCAGTTTATATCATATTAAAGAATTCAATGAAAAACAAAGAAATTTTAACAAAATTTAATCCATCATTTTATCTTTCTACTCTCTTGTGAATGATTGAAGTTTTCTGAAAGCAGTTTTCTTTCTCTGTCGATGTAGAGAGAAAAGTTACGTTTCGATCAGTTGATCGAAAGTGATAGGCAAACATGGCAAAATTCATTACCATGATAATTCGATCAATAGTTATCTACATGCTTGGTACAAAAAAAAAACGTTTAGCTGTCTAAAAAGACGACGGCTATATCGAAATCGAACGAGAAACCATTTTTTCTCTAATCTTTCGGAGAACATTCTCTTTGCTTACAATTAACGCACCAAAAGACGAACTTTTATGATGTTAGTTGTTTTTCTCCAGATAGCTACGAATACAGTGATGATCGATAACGCATGAGAAAGAGATTCAATCGATGGTATTCCTTAAAAAAATATTTATAATTATTAGTAGAGTTCTTTAGTAATGAATTTCACAATGGCTGCTTGAGAATTTTTTCATGACTTCGATCATCTGATCGATAAAACGCGAGTTTACAAATTTATAGTGACAAAAAAGAATGTTAATTCCAGTAATGCAGTTCGAAGTCGAATGCAGTTCGTATGCCATCCAGTTAATGAGATTTGAAGCACACCGTTTATGCAGTTGATAGCATTCGCATTTGGTCTCCATACTTTGCATGCTTTTTGCTGTAACAAAATCTAGACTTTGTGATGAAGTGTGGTAGAGAACAACGAGTCATTAAAAACTCGTTCGAACTATGTTCGTCAGTGAAAGCCATGGCTCGAGATGATATAAACATTTTTAAATCTTCAACACGAGTCTTCGTTCATCTTCAGTAAGTTCCGAAAAAAGCGATTTGACCTCAATCTTGTATCCGAGATAATAACACAAGTGGTGAGCTACTCTTCAGTCAACATAATGAGCAATTTTTATGTTAATCAAAACTTATTGCCGACAATCAAGATTACTTGGAAGTGTTAGTGTGATTGCTTTCTTTTTCGCGGAATTCACATCCACAGACACTTCCTATACCCATAGTCACACACTGAAAACCAATCATAATTATTTATTTGTGTCAAAATTCAGATTATTGAGTTCAGATGATTCATTAACACTGATAATATTTGTCGATGTTTTGTAAATATCATTTTGACTATGGTCTCTTTTCTGTCATCCATTCGAGTTTTGAGCTCATGACCAATCATTGTATCGCATCAAAGATAATGTACTCACACGATGAATAATGAAATTTTGTTATACTTTGTATCGAAAAATAAAGCTCTATTCTGTTCATCAAAATGATTTTTTTAAGCGAAATCTTCAATTGTCATATGATTCAAAAAACAAGAAAGTTGCATGAAAATCAGTTGATGGTGACGATACAGATTTGTCATGATATGAAAATGATGTGCAAAACTTCATTTGATTATTATTTTTAGCACTGCCTGATGAATAGTCTAATAATATTCGAATTATTAGATTAGATGTTTTTTTGTATTTCCAAATAAAAATTTTTATAAAACTTAAAATAATAATTATTGTTCGTTTTGTATACGTTACATAATGATCGAACAATTACATGAATAATTATTGTGCTCGATCATGAATTTCCTGTCGATAGAGAACAGCTCTATATAAAAATCCTGTAAAAATATCAAATAAAATTTTATAAGAGGCTTAAAAAAGAAATGAAATCGATGTCGATAAATACAAGAAATAAGTATTCCGGTAGGTAAACGTTGAATATTATTATTTTGAATCATCTTATACTTGTTCCATAAATTTTTATTTAATTCATAGGAAGAATATGTTCGATTAATCATTTTGTTGATTGTACAGAATAACAACAGAATTTAAAATCAACAAAATCTATGATTACATATGACAAAGGATAATTGAATTGCACAGATTTTTTGATAAAGGTACTTTACTAATCATTAAAGATTAATTTTAATAATCTATATTTTGGACAACATAGTATAAAACATGTCTACTTTTTCATATTTTGATGGATATTTGATATATCATTATTAATGAGATTTTAATGTATTATTTTGATGTTATTTGATACCATGCAGTTTGAAGCTGAATCGAACTGTCAAGTAATTCAATTAATAGTTTGAATCAAATTCGAGCAAGTTTGATATATGTTACGAAGAAACTATTTGTTATAGATATCGGTCAAACAAGGTAAAGTTTTTTGTCTTACATAATTCATATTGATTAACTTTGAAAAAATTTGACATCTGTTTGCTCTAGTTTGTAACCCGTCATTTCTTTTTTTCTTCATTTTTGTTTGACCACGTAAGCATACATAATAATTAATGCTCTTGTATTCTTGTTTAATCTTATCATCTAATGTACCTGAATTCATAAGAGAACTTTTTGTTAACTTCGTACTGTTCTTTGTCTAGATCATACCTTCCATGTTTTTTGTATGTTTTATATTAAGTTCTATATGTATTTCAAAAGTAAATGGTTGGGGTACTACTGGACATTCTCTTGTAGCTAAACTTGCACAAACTAGGTTGACTAAGGAGTCAGAAAAATTCGTTCGTGATTATTTACCATGGTATACAACAGGTGATTTAAGTATGCTTGCTTCATGGCCTGATACAATCGTTTCTCCCAATACAAACCCAGTTGATTATCTAAATTGGTTATGGTCAAAAGAATTACATTATGTCAATACACCCGATTGGATTTGTAATTATGATCGTAATCGAGATTGTAATTGGACGAGTAGACAACGTTGTGTTGATGGAACAATTCGAAATTATACAAAACAATTAGCGGATATTAACCAGGATAATATTCGACGACAAGAAGCATTGAAGTTTTTAGTACATTTTATTGGTGATGTTCATCAACCATTACATGCAGGTTTTGTTGGTGATAAAGGTGGAAATTTCATTCGAGGTGACAAAGAAAAAGAATTTATCTTTATAAACATTTGAATATTATTTATTTTTTTTTAGGTTATTTTTTTGATAAATCAACTAATTTACATGCTTTATGGGATACATTAATGATTGAACGTCGTATTTCATTAGATTTTCAAAATGATCAAAATAAATATTATAATTATCTACTCAATTTACTACAAACAACTTATACAAGTAATATTTCCCAATGGTCAAAGTGTCCACCAGATGAACAATCTCATTATCTAGCATGTTCAACAGTGTGGATTAATGAAAATATTGAATTAAATTGTGCATATATTTACCGCGATGAAGATGATAAACCAATGAATACATCACATGAATTTCATTTAGGTCAAATGTATTATAATACAAGAATAGGCATTCTTGAACAACGACTTATTCAAAGTAGTGTAAGACTTAGTGGTGTTATTAATAAAATTGTTGGATTACAAAAACGTGAACATCATAGAAAGAAACATACTAAATTATATTCAGAAGGAATGTTAGCCATTTTACTTATGTTTATTGCAGCTTTTGTAACATTTATTGGTTGTATATGTTATCTTGTTCGTCGAACATTTACTCAACAATCAGTAGTTGAAAAATCTGCAAAATATCATAGTTTGAATGATATTAATAAATAAACTTTTCTTTTCTTTATGAGAATGTTCTGAAGGTTTTTAATGATGTACTAATGCATAATGTATTGATGGTTTTTCTGAAAGCATATGTTTTACCTTTCAAAACTATTATATTTAGTGAAATATTTGATATAGTTAGTTGATCATTTATTCACGTCGAACATTAAAAAAAGATAGGCAGAACAATAGACAGAAGTTAAGACATTTCAAAATAAATAGCAGGCATTTAAATCTTTTTTCTATATAGATTTAGCATAGGACAATTGCTTGAATCTTTCTTTACGGATCATTTACCATTTTTATAGTGATAGATAAAGAGAATTGAATCAGTCACGAGGATATGTGACTTGAACGTTCTATTCAGCTATGAGATAATCTTGAATCTTATATTTTGGTTATGAACAGATCTCTCGAAGAGTGAGAACATATGGAAAGAATTCAGGATACAATATCGTACTGAAATTAAAATGGCTGTAATACGGTTTTCAATATTCTACATAGTGTAGTTTCTTAGTTTTGCTCAAGTAAATGATTATACGAGAAATATCAAGGATAATAGCTAGTAATGTGTTGATTGCCACGATCGTCAAATGATCAGTACTAAAAGTATGAACTTATAAAGTTCTAACTTTTGGGGATATTTAATATCAATGTTTTTGAGTTTATCGAGATAGATAATAGCAGGTTAAGACCTACTCGTAGATATAAGAAGTGCGTACAACGAACTTATTTATCAGTCAAATCAATAGTAAATGGAATAATTCTAATAATAAATTATGAAAAATGAAATAAAAAAGCTTGTGAGCGCAACCCTTGTAGAATTGAAATGTGTCACTAAAATGTCTTTTTTTCAGCTTAATTATTTTAACACAGAAAACATTAAGTCAAAAATCTCTATAATTTTTTCTTGTAGTTTTTTACTTGTTCTCTACTTTTTAGAAGCACACAGTCGGCTACAGCTACAATGCGGACACTTTTTTTAACCAATTAAGGTAAAATGTCCGCAAAGCAGAATCAGGGGGTATAGACAAAAATGACCGCATTTTGAAAATTGTCCGCAAAGCAGAATCGAGGCAGAGAATGAAAATGTCCGCATTATAGAATCAAGAAAAAATTTATTATGTGAAGAAAGAGAAAGATACAAGTAGTACGAGATGATTCAACATTCAACTATGCTTTGGTTCATAATCTTCGTCATCTTTGTCAGATGTATCCAATATGTGAATGTATCGGTAACAAAGAGAACGTAGTCTTTTTTGATAACCATCTAAATCTAGTAGACCATTTAAATAATCTTCTTTTGCTTGTACTAAAATATTTTCATTATTAACTGAAGTTAACCTTTTTGGACGAGTTGTTCGTTGTTGTGCGTGTTCCTGTTCTAATCGAATCATTACTGATTATCGTCGATAGAATCGATTTGTCTGTACTAATTTTCTTACTATTTCTACTTTTTTTTTGATTCTATAATGCGGACATTTTCATTCTCTGCCTCGATTCTGCTTTGCGGACAATTTTCAAAATGCGGTCATTTTTGTCTATACCCCCTGATTCTACTTTGCGGACATATTTTTCCTCCAATTAAGAAAAATCGCCCGCAATCAAGCAGACACGCACACAGTCAACTATCAAATAAGTCCGCTCTCCACATCTATTACACCTACGACAGGTCTCAGGATGTCATGATGTATTCTAATGGCCTCATTTAAATTTCAAAGAAGACTTCGGACTGTAGTAAAGTCGTTCAATGCCTCATTTTTCTTGCCAAGAAACTATAACAAAGAAGTCTGGTTCCTATCACTTTCGTTAGTTATGGAAAACGTACCGAAATGTGTTTGATCTCGATGACTATAGCCAATTGCGAGTGTCTTTGTCTACCTTGATTCGACTGTTATCGATACGAAAATCATTGATCTATGTATTCATCCTCAGGCATTGACTCAGGTTGCTATGCTAGGGAGAGAAGCTGTTCAATTTCGCCTTATAATTTACATTCACTATGTTCCTTCGTCGAATGTCTGAATTTCACACAAAAAAAGAAAAGAGAAAATAAAGAGAATTCTGTTCGAAAAGACAAAGGATTTTCTTTCAATCGGAAGACATGTCAGGTATACATTTCATATCCAAAGCAGTTGCGGTAACAAACTTCTTGTAACTATGCTTTCAATAAAAACCATATGAAGCTCATAGTTTCAAACAACATTTAATAATTTAAAATGCTTGTGTTTAGAGATAGGTAAATTTTATTAATATATTACAAAAAAAAAGAAATCAAATACTTAACTCTTAGTTATAACTGAAAAATGATGTATTTTCACAGATCTATGCTTCTTTTTCCTTCAATATTCTTTACCAACAATCAACTTAATTATAAACACCTATATTATATTAAAAAAATGAGTCCAGGATGTTTTCTTTCCTTTTTTTTTCTACAATATAACTGTCCGTATGATGAAAAAAAAATTAGCAGATAAGAAACAATTAGCGTTACATACACAACAATAGGAATACGTACAAAGAAAGCTAAAGAATGAATGAATTGTTTTTTCTGCATGAAATTATATGCTTGTTAAATAGGCTTTGTTTTTCTTTTAAAAAGAAATAGATGTGTTTTCATACAACAATAAAAAAAAACAGAACAAAACAACAACAAAACAATAGATATATAGAAAAAAATATATATCTAAAGTTTTTTTGTTTTTTGATTATTAAGATTTCCATTACTTAATTCAAGTATTGAAGATGATGATGAACGTATAGATGCACTTGAATTTGATCTTGGTGGTTCACTAAAAGAAAATTTCATTGGTGGTGTCACTTTTGGTGGTGTTATTGTTGGTATGGAACGATCAAGTTCATCATTTGTACCAAATGCAAGAACAGGTGTTATTTGTTTTTGTTGATCCATTGATGAAACACGACTTGCTGATTTTGGTCGTGTTATTGATGATGATGTTTTAGAAATTTTTTTATTATTATTTTTAATTGTTGATGTTGACATAATACTTGCTGACAAAGGTTTTTTTATTGATATTGATGTTGATGCTGCAAATATAGTATTATTATCATGGAATTGTTCAAATCCATTATTTTGACTATGAAATATATCACCAACAGCAAGACTATTAGCAAGTGAATCAACTGTATGTGCAACAATAGATTGACGTAATTGACCAGGTGTTGTTGGTCGATGAAGAACAGGATCAATTGATGTTCTACTTTTAAAAACATTGATTGATGATGCATATAATGTATTATTATAAGATTTTTGACTATTTGTATTTGGTTTTTGTAATGAATATTTTTTAAGCATTAAATCATCTCCACTTAATTCTTGGTCGATTGCATGTAATCTATCAGCAAGATCTAAATCAGCTTCCATTACATCTTGATCTTCCTAGAAAAAAAAAATCAAAAAAATTTTTTTTGTTGTTTTATAAATTAAATATTTTATTTACATCATCATTATCTTGTTCATTATCAGATGATTGGTCAATAATTTGATCACCATTTTTACATAGAAGATTAAGTAAAAATTCTAATTGACCTTTTGTTTCTGAGTTTGTTGTTTCAGTTCGAATTAATGTTCGAAGACGATTTTCAAGATTCTATTATCAATATTAAATATTCATATATTAATTCATAGATAAGAATCATTACTTACTAGTTGAATAGCTTTGTCACGTACAGATTTCAATGTTAAAATTGAATATAATGATGAATTAACATATGGTCTAATCTGAATATGTAAAGAAAGTAATAAATTAATATAAGATTTTTTTATCGTCAAAACATACTTCGTGATTTGGATGAGCTAATAGAGATGCAAGAACAGTTATAGCTTGTTCAGCTATTTCAGCACATTTTTTACGACCTTCGGTACGTAAACATAAATTCATTAATAAAGCTACGCCATATTCTAAAAATTTTAAAGAATAAAATAATATTTATTTTCTTTTTATTTTTAATGAAAATATATTTTTTTACCTAAAGTATAATCCGATAAACCATTTGATACACTTAATAATGGTACAAGCCATTTAATCATATTTTCATTGATCATTATAGTTTGAACAGTTCGTCTAAAAAGTTCAGAAAGTAATTAGATATTTCATATTTAATCGATGTATTCGAATTCGAGAAAGAAAGAACATTTTACTTCATGAATCCTATCTTTATTAAAATTCAGTACGCCTTTTTCAAGCTTCTTAATTTTTGAATCAATATAAACTAAATAAATTTTCCCGAAAACTATTCAAACATTATTTACGAAGTTATATTTGTAATGTACAAGTGTCTATATATAGAATTAACTTTCATACTTAAAATACTCATACAACATAGACTATTTCTGTGAATAAGAAATACTTATTATTTCTTTGTTTTAATGCAAATATGAACGTGTGTATGTTCATTTATAAAAAATATTTGCTTAATGCAATGCACTCTTCATCAAAAGTCTTGAATTAAATAAATAATGTTAACTTTTTACCGTATCTATTCCTAAAAGATCCAACTCGATCTAAGGCTGCCAATAAAATCAGACTTTTCTCTAGTAAAGGAACAAAAATGATAACGCTTCACCGAAGATCGAATTTACTCTTGCGGAATTTCGAGTCGCTTCTTGAAAAGAAATATTCTGAATATAATATTGTGCGAAAAGTTCGCAATTGTTGTTTGTATATAAAAAGAACATTTTTTCATACCTGAGACTTAGCTTTTGTAATGCTGCTAAAAGATGCTGTTTCGTAAGTGTATCTGATTGTTCTGCAATAGCTGCTTTTTGCATACTAATAATCAATTGTTCATTTGGTGCCAAATAATTTCGACCTTTAATTATATACATATAGAAAAAATAAATATATATATATATATATACAAGTACTGCATTATCTTGTTCACCTTTTCTTAATGAAGCAATTGTATTAATTAAACGTGCCCATTCTTCTTTCACAAAACGTGTATCTACAGTCGATGTTATTGATGATAAGTCTTTTATAATTTTTGTTCGTTGTTCCATATCAGTACGACAACCAAGTAAATCACAACTAATATAACAATCAAGCATTTTTTCACGATTGAAATCTGTTGTAGCTTTGGTCAGTTTCCAACGTAAAGCTTGAAGTAACAGTGATTTTTGACGTGGACTAGTGGATACATGAACAACATCGCGCTTTATTTTATCATAATCAAATTTTTCCGTAAATGGATCATCAATTCTATATACAAAAAACAAAAAACGGATTATTGTAATCGAATTCAAGCGATGTCTTCATTCGATCAGAAAAGGATCTAAGATAGTTAAAATCTTCGTCATTTCCCTGCCGTCTAGAAATACGAAACTCAAAAAAAAAATCAAGTAAAATTTAATGTTTCAAGCGGCTGAATTGAGACTGTATGTGTCAATCTTTGTAAAACTCCTCTGAATTTTAAAATTTTTACATAGTAGATGCTGATGTATTCTTAGAGAAATTCTCTATCATTCAATTATTGAAATATTTTCAATAACTAGAAAATAATCATCTATTCTTATTACCCAAGACGAGCGGATTCCATTGCATTAGCCATGGATTCACGTAATCTAGCAATACCAAGTCGTGAACATACATTATCAATATATTCATTAGTAATCGTTTTTCCTACAATAGCTTGTTGTAATGTTTCAACTAATTCCATTGTGATACCTATTGAAATGAATTAAAATAGAATAAAAATAGAATTTTTATCGCTTTTCTTTTTTTGTTAAGTTCACTTACTAATTAAATTACAATAATCAGTACTTAAATGTTTTATTTGTTTATTTGTTTCTCTATTTCGATGTTTAAGTTCTTCATTTTCATTATTTATTTGTGTTAAGATATGAGATGCACGTTCACCATTTTGTAATAATTCAACAAGACGTGGTAATGGTCGATTAGAAAAAATCCAATCAAAAAAATTTGAAACTTTTTTACGTATTTGTACTGGCCATTCATTCTACGAAACAAAAAAAAATTCATACTCAAATCCTCTTCTCTCCTCTCACCAAAACAAAAAACTACGAACTGAAAATAATTCTTGAAAAGATGCATGTTTATCTGGTGATGTAACAAATGGTAATGCAAATAAAGGTAATATTTCACTTGTTTGTGATATAGCTTGTCCTTTAATTGATTCCATATATGTTTTAAATTCTTGCATATTTTCTTTTGCTGCTTGTTCATTCTAAATAATTATAATTAAAATAAAGAAAATATAAATTATATAAAAATGAAATACTTTATTTCGATTATTTGGACGTAAATAATAAATAGAAAAATGAGCATAAAGTAAAAATTCAAGTGATTTTAATGATGGATCACTATCGATTATATTTGCTGGTATATGTTTTAACCAAAGACGAAAAAATTCTTCTCGATTTCCATCATCAAAATATTTTAACATTTCATTCTAAAACAAAACAACAAAATATGTAAATTACTTTTTCGGTTTTTTTTTTTTATAAACTTAAATAAAAATTACTTTAATAATTTGACATTTTTCGTGATCAGTATCTTGTAAATGATTGCCATTTGTTAGTTGTTGTATGGGTTCTTGACGAGTTTTTCGTTCTTTTAAAAATATTCCAACTGTATCATTAAAACCTTTATAATCAAGATATTCAGTTACAAAATCATTTATACGAAAATCAATTGATTGAGACATTTCAATTTGTTTATGATAATAATAAGATTTTAGTTTATTCAACAAATCTAGCTATTATGTTGCTTGACATTACCTCTATAATATATTTATTTTTTATTTAGTGACATCTATTTAATCAACTCACTGAATGTTTTATTGAAATTAAATAAAGATAATTGATAAGTATTATTTATTTGGAAAAAGAAATAAATGTTAAAAAGAAGATTTTTTTTGTTTTTGTACCCGCGATATTCAATACGAGACAAAGAGCTTTGTTTCGATTTGGAATCGTCTATACATTCTTTGAAAAATGCTTCGTCAGCCAACAATTATACATGCTAGGTAAATGTATTTATCAAAATACAGCAAAACTAAAGTTTTGAACAATTAAATTTTAATTTATTTCAGTGGTTTACAATCGCCAATACATTCATTACAACAATAATATTCAATTCGATGAATGATGAAGTAAAAAAAAGAAACTCTTTTGAAGATTCTTTTAATTTAATTTATTCTGTATTTCAGTCAATCATCTAATCAAATAAAATAAAGCGAAATGAAATTTTATTTTTTATAAATTAATATGTTTTAATTTCTCTCGTTTAATGAATAATTCTCAAAACTAATCTACATATTACAATCAAAATCGTAAATATTTTACTTGTATTTTTTTTCTTAAAAGAAATTTGTATTTGAAAATTTAAAATTCTAAATCAATTTTTTTTGTCATAATCAAGCTCATCAACTAATGCCATCATCAGTTCGTCGAACATCGATTGGCGCTACTTGTCAGTCAAACGTTCACTAAGATAATATGTATACAAATAGAAATCGGAGCAATTTTATACGTTCATAGCAAACAATATCATGATAATGAAAATTTTTTATTATTAAATTATTCAATAAAACCAGCATATGAGTAAGTCTTGACTTAATTAATTAACAATATTTAGAGTTTTATTTTAGCCATCTTGGTTATGATTATCGATATTCAATAGAAGAAAAACGACCTATTGATTATACAGATATAGAACTTAGTAAATATTTTGTTTTCTATAATAGTTTATAAGTATTGTTCGTTTTTGATTAGTTGTTTCTGAAACGAACAGAAGTTGATGAAATTCTTTTGACAAATATTGATGTATAATTTGGAATATGGTCATATAAATATGTTCGACTTGATGTAAAATTTTTTTTTCTATAGTTAACTTTTATTTGTTATTGAATTTTTGTTTTATTTTATCAGATGAACTATTAGCTGATAATATCAATGAAAGATAATTTGAACCGGAACGTTTAGATCAAAATGAAACATTAAATATTATTCGACCAATATTTCGCAATCAATGACGAACAACATCTATTCTTGATGTAAATTTAATTGCTTTGATTATTATTTTTTCTATGTGTCCTTGTTTGATATTATAGTAGAGTTAGTCAATAGAATACCTTTGACATATTATTTTTTATCACTGAAATATCGAAATCAAACAAAATTAATCGTTCAATTTTTTAGAGTTTTTTCGACACTAATTTTTCTGTAAAAAAATTATCCTGCAGAAAATATTTCATTGTGGAATATTGAAAGGTTTAATTATAGATATTCTAAAGGTTTTCAATTAAAGCATTGAGAAATTATTTTTCATGTAAATCAACTGTACAATTTAAAATAGAAGTTTTTTGTTTTGTTCAATAAGTATTAATCTCGATCTATAAATCATTTAATAAAGTAAAAAAATTTTCTTCTAGTTATTTGGTGATAAGATTACTTCAATAGTATCTTCAAAAGAAAGTACAAATAAATATCAAATATCATCATTATCATTAAATGAATATCAATGTACTTATTTAACAACGATAAATAATGAAATACATCGATCGTCATGTCATTTACCATATCTATCAACATGTTTAACACATAAAATTTTGATAAACAATATATCTAGATTAAAACAGTCTCAAATTCAAATGCTGAATGTGAAATTAGATGATGAATCATTTGATCGTAATATACAAATACATATAAGAGAATCAATATATTCAGATTTATTTTCAACAAAAATTTTTCTATATTATGCTGTTTTACAACGATCTGAAAGAATTCTTAGTATAATTCATTTCATCTTATATTTATATATGTACGAATTATTTCATATACTTTTATATTTCATGATAAAACAATATGAGAAAAGAATTTTATGAGATAATTTTCTTTTCTAGATAAAGATTTTCAAAGAAATTTTGTCATTCGTTTTATATGTGATAATCAAACAGTTATTCAAAATAATGGATAATTATGTACGTCATTATTTAAAATAACGTATATATATATATGAATGGTTTGTTATATAAAAAAATTATAGACATTTTGCTCATGTTCTGTTATTTGTCAAACGAGCATGGAATTAAAGAATTATTAATAAATAAAGTAATTTTCATACAAAGCATGTTCTTTGCTTTTTCGAATAATAATTATTATCATTCTTTCCGTTTATAATTAGTTATTCTTATTATGAAAATATTTCTTTTTTCCTTCCATTAGTTAGTTTTGGAAATCAATATAATAACTTCATATTTATAATTTTGAATGTAACTAAGAAGAGATTTTGTCCTAAATAGTATAATTTAATAATTATATAGATATAGAAATTGGCTGTTTATTTTATTTTTTCGATCAAGCATATTAATATCTTATGTTGTCGCTTCGTGTTTTTTTTTTTTCGTTTTTGATCGTTCTTAGCTTAATAATAGGACACATTTTTACCTCTTCCGTTCTATTTGATTTGACCATGAATGATAGATTAATAAATCTACATTTGATGTTCACATACATACTATCTTGTATCCAGATACGAAAACAGTCTGAATCATTTGTAATATAAAAATACCCATTTTCTCGAACGATATCTACCATAACAAGCATAGGATAAAAAATATTTACATGACTTAATTGATTATATCACTATTTCGTTTTCTAGATTATAAAGATTTCTCATAATTAAAATTTGTAAAATTTCTCAAGGTGAGCAAGTTTAAAAAAACTTTCAATCATTGAATTTGATTATTCAAAAATATAATTCTATTTAAATTAAATATGAAATTCCTTCGATGATCTGTAAATAACTAAAAAGAAAAATACACAAATCATCAAGTCAGTCTTATCCTATGGGGATTATACAAACTATTTTTTTTTTTAATGATTTTAATCAAATTCTGTTCAGATCAGATATGAATTATTCGTTTTCTCAAATGCAATGGGGATTCTTTAAAAAAATTTGAGAATAATATGTCGATTTCAAAATTTTATTGATAATCAAAGAGTTATATTTATATTTCTAGATAAAAATAAAGTTAACAATATTTTTGTATAATTAAAGTATGGATGCCCATTCAAATGATGATGGAGGTTGATTACATAGCTTAACTAAATTAAACAAAAAAGAAACTTAAGAACAATCGTAAAATAATGATAACATAATCCTAATGATTTCCGAAAAGTCAATAAATTCAAAAGAAAATAGAGTAATAAAAAATAAACGATACAAATATTCAAAGTAATCTTATAGATTTGTTTTTTGTTTTAATGAAAATAATTTTTATCGTTTAGGAAACTTTGACAAACAATACTTATTGAATTAACAAGTGAAAAACTAAACAATAAGTTTTATTCATAGTGAGCACCCATCCGAAGATAACGTTCGTTCTCCCGGAGTTTGTGCGTATTGTACTATATACTATGTATCTATTGTTTCCAATAATAATTATCACCTCTCTTTCGGAATTATAAATTATCCCTCCGAAAAAAAAAAAGAAAATTTTTATCAAACATTGATTAAAATAACTTATAATTTAGATTCATTTGTTTATTCTTTTGCTTTTGTAGATATGTCATCACCAGGTAATTATGCAAAAGGTTATGTACGTTGGACAGCTGGTGGTAAACGTGTTATGTGGGATGGTGCCCGTTGGCAACAATTATGTCAAATAGAGAAATGTTTTAAGCGTGATCAAAAATCTCAAGGTGTTTGTCTTATACATTTTCGTGAACTACAAGAAAATAAAGCGAAAAATAAAAATAAAAAATTTAAACAAGTAGAAAAATCAGAAAAAATCAAATTAACTAAAGAAAAAAAATCTAGCCCAATTAAACGAGCATCTATATCAACTCGACCGAAACGTATTAAGTCGAATAGTAAGAAGAAATTTTTAATTTCGCTTTTGTTTTTTTTTTTTTTTATTTTATTTTCTTTCTTTCAGATTCACTTAATGATTCACTAAAGGTAAATGAAATAAAAACTATGGAATGATCAGCTGTTTTGTATTTCTATGATTAGAACTAATCGAAGATATTTATCGATCTATTTATGGATTGATAGATAAGAAAGACACAGCCAATAGACGAGACCCACTAGAGTTTAAGTGTGAGATATCAATAAATGGTATTTAAATTTCAAAGATAATCTGATAAAAAAAAAGAATGAGTAACTTTTTATGATTAGAAATAATTCTCGAAGTATAGTGTTGGTCAAAATTAGAAAACTACTATATTTTTGAGTTTTTTCTATGATATCAATAAGCATGTAACTTGAATGTGAAAGTTTCTGGAACACTAAACATGGTAGCGTTCAGGTCCTAGAGGATTGTGAAAATTAACTTTTAAAAATACCATTTCAAAGACTACATCATCCAGAATAAAATGAAGATCTGCTACATTTTCTAAGACCTTCCATTAAAAATGTATAAGGATCATCAAAAAACAGAAAATTGCGTGTTTTAACAGTGTTATGATAAATTTTCATCGTCAGTCTTTTTTGGTATGAATAATCATATATTAAGAAAAAGTCGTAGAAACTATGATGATTCCTCATTTTATTCAGAACTTTGTACTCTATGGTATGGTACTATTACAAACTGCTTTTTTGGAGTCTTTTGACAACTGAAAATTATTGTGTTTCGTCTTTTCGAAACTTTTGTCTCATTGTTCATCTATAAATTTCGATTTGGAGTGCGCTTAATGACGGATCTTATTGGCTAATGAAAATACTATTTAAATTCAAATTAAATATATAGTATTAAAGGAAAAAATATAAAAATAGGTTGATATTTTTTTTTCGCAGAACTGTATATCCAAAGAGGAATATATTGAAGCCTAACACAGTACTAGTAACTAGTTATAATAATTCCATCTGAAATCAATATTTTATCTTTCAGAGACAGCTGTTTAGTTTTTGAACGTAATAATTCCAAATGCTTTAAAGTCTAAAGTTGATGGCCGGAAAATATTGCCTTTTCAGCTTTCGCCTACCATAAGAAACTACTTGTGATTATCGACATTAGTAAAATGCTTTGAAAACTTCATGGAAACAAATAACAAATTAATTTTTTTAAATCAAATTACTCTTGATTCTAAACAGGTTAGACAAGTAATTTATCGTTATAAATATTACTTTTTTGATTATCTGTAGTTTACTAACTGCTATATTCTATTCTTAATTTTTATAATGGGACATCTTATCTAAAGAAAAAAAAAACGATTGAAAAATTTGCTGTTGTGTTAATCTTATATATTTAATTCTTTTTAGGTTTCTAATACGAATTATCAAAATTCTGATATAGATATTTCAGACTCAGAAATTACTGAAAGAAAATCATCCGTAAGATTCATAGCAAATTTTTATCAATAAACATTCTTTTCTTTTGTTGTTTATTTTATAGATTTCAAATCTTAGTCTATCAAAATCACATAAATCATTACGTACATTAGTACTTGTTTGTTCATCACTAACACGTCAACAAACAGTATGTTCATTTCATAGAGTATACTCTTCTTGAAAACTTTGCTTTTTTCTTTTGTTATAGTCTCAAGTGGAATTATTTTGTAGTCGTTTTTCTGCTCGTTTATCAAATCAAATTGATGAAACAACAACACATTTAATAGCAAGTGAAGTTGAACAACGTGTATGTTGTTTAACAAAAAAAGTTTTTTTTGCTGTTGCTTATCATCAATATGTTATTGGTTATCAATGGATTGAAGAATGTCTTAATAAACAATGTCTTCTAAATGAAGATTCATATGAAATTCTTGGCGATGCATCATTATCATCAGAACATAATGGTATGAATCGTTCACGTTTAATTCATCAACCAATATTTCAATCATATTCATATGCTATTGCTGTTGAATGTTCAATTGGTTGTCAACAAGGAATGTTTACACGACAAGAACTTGAACAACTTGTACAATTATCTGGTGCTATTTTATTAAAAGAACATAATCGACAAGCATTAGATATAAATACAACAATTATTGTACTATGTGATGATGATGATAAAATGGTTGTTAAAAAATATCATGATTTAAAAAATAAAATTTATTATGTTATACCAGAATTTTTTCTTGATTCACTTATATTATATGAAGTACAACCGATAAAAGGTTATGAATTACTTTATCAGATAGACTAATATATATGTATATACTAATAGATATAAATAAAAAAATGTGTATGTGAATCATTATGTTTATTGAAGCGTATTGTATGTGCTTTGTGACCGCATAGAGAGCTAGAAAGAAAAGAAATTTATTGTATATATTTATACTAAAGCATATGTATTTGTAGATAAAATATTGTTATCATCGAAAGATTTTTATTTTTTTCGTCGAAAGAACTTCTTAATAAATAATCGATTCAATATGTATATAAATATGTAGATCAATATCGATTAATTGAAGAAAAATGAATAAATATGATCTAATATTATTAATTATATCACTTTCAATTTCTAGATATGATATGTTGTTATTAATAAAAGTAATTATGTTGTCGATCAAATCAATAATTTAAATGGAAGTCTAAAACGAACAGCAAGTAAATGAATTAATAAAAGAAGTATTATCAAGTAAATTATTAATTTTCAGAGACACTTATAAAAAGAATTATAATGTCTCAAGGGAAATAATAGTCTGATCTTCATTTTGTTATATAGTATAATATGGATATTAGAAAGTAATAATTAAATTGAAATAATAAAATTTGTGTATAATAAGAAGATGTACGTCAGGTTTTGTATTTCGTAGAGTGATATTCAAAAATAAAATTTTTGATACAATGTATAAATTTCATCGGTATATATTACTCATACTTTTATTGAAACGTTCAGTTTAAGCTATACATTCAACTGAAAAGTAATATGAATCATAAATTGTACAAATCTTATCAACTTCATATATTAAACAAACTTCTATGGTCTACTTTTCTGCATACTCTAAGATTTTACTTATTGATAAAGACTATCATCACTAAAATATAATAAATGAGGATGTTTTTCTAATATCATTAGGCTAAAAAAAACCTAGGAACTTGTAGTTTTTAGCATGCAAAAGAGATAAGTGGGAGAAGTATAGAAATGACAAAATTATTAGGTTTTGAATAATTAAGTCGTCACTAAAAACTTGAATTTTCGTGTCAAAAGAATGTTTCATAGGATTTTAATTATTGATAAGATTATTCAATAGAAAAAGTTATTCTCTTTATATAATATAATCCGCTTTATAATTTTTTTGGAAAACACTGATAAAAAAAAGCTTTTTCTGAAAGAAAATCTAAAAAAAAAGGCTGAATCTTAAATAAAACCATAACACAGACATCATATTTTTTTCTGTAAGTTCTTCTTTACATCCTTTTTCAAGCGTCTAGCCAAAACGTCGAAATCTATCACACTTGTAAAACTTGAATGTTGAATTAAATTAACCGAAAGTTAAGAAAAAAATTTGTTCGCATAATTGACCTTTCATATCTGCGCCGCGACGTAGAAACTCTTAGCACCCATATGAAGAGCTGCGATCCATACTTAGATCTGCGTACATCATTAAATATGTCTTTGTTTTATGCTTTGATAGTTCTTAAAAGGACGTATTCGGAAGGTTGCAATAGAATTAGCATTTGTATTAAACATGAAGACTTATGCTTTAGCATCAATGGCATTAGAATTAATGCATCCCTACTTTATAGCATTAAGTTAACATTATTTTTAATTCTGTGTCTTTAACATTTAAGGTGCTACCAAAGTGTGATGGATAGCTTCTGCAGCATATGGAATGTTATAAATGTCATATCCGGATAGCTTTCTACAAACTACATTGACTATATGTATTAGAATTAAAGTTAATTCAGGAAGAAGAATCCACAACAGCAATGTCTACAAATAATCTGATAAATCCCGACAATCAGATCAGATAGTTGGAACATGTTAGATACATTCAGAATTGGACAAGATTCTCTCGAATTTACATCTGAACACTAGATATGGTTTCATCCACCCTCTTATGCTCTTTTGTCATTCCCTTCACTTATTTTTCAATAATCTATTGTAATAATTCGTAATATTAAAGTAAGTTTCAAGAAATTGATTTTCATCCAGTTGTACCTATCGAAATAATTAAAAACGGATGATTACATTTTTTAAAACTTTTAATCATACTGATATTGTGAACGATCAATCTAAACAACATTAGAAAACAAACAAAACTTATATCTCAACTGATCTATATATGTACTCACCGATTTATAAACCTCAATAAAGAAAGAAAAATATCATATTTTATTTGACTAACCATCATTTCGAGACTTTGATTGATGAATCTGAAGAAAGAATAAGGTGATATAATTTTATTTTTCGGTTATTCTAAAATGATAAAGTTAAAAAAGTGATTAAAAACAATGAAAGATATTTTATGTAAGCTTATTACAACATCTGATAGTTGAATAGCAAATTTAAGTGTAGAATATGAACAATGATGATATGCGGATTTACCATATAATTCAAATCTTGAATAGTAAAGCTAAATGAAGAATATAGAAAAACATAAATGACAATTGTATTTTAATTAATCTTTAATTTTAAATGCTAACTAGTAAAATCACATAAAATTATAAAGCAAATATAAATATTTGTGAGCTTACTGTCACCTCTAATTGTTGCACGATAAATTGAATTAAAAAAAAAATAGATCACATAAAATAATGACGGAATGAGCATTTCACATTAAAAAAAAACTAACTAAAGCATACAAAAAGAATGATTATATTCTATTCGAACTTATTATTAAATTTAAATTTGAATGATAAGTCTAAAAAGAAAGAAAAATGAGAAAGATGAAAACAACTAACTTTCAAAACTTGATTTATGTTTAAGCAAAATGAGCACATCTTTTTTTCCTTAAGTGACAGCGCTCTGACTCGACTAGTTTAAACTGGTATCTATATTGTTACGTTGTTATAGTCAAGTATTAATATATTTTGATAAGACTTTGTTCTGCTTTGTCCAAATAAGATGTCTCATTAATTTTAAGTAACAACGGGTTCGGTTCTAGATAAGACCCAAAAAATACTTCAGATGTTGTCTAATAATCACAAAGAAAAGCAAAATTAAATATGTTAATATCGTCGAATATGATTAGATCTTATTGATGGATTCTTACAGTCTTCGATAATGGAAATTATCGAAAACTAAAGCATATTAATTGATTCCGATAGTTGAATTTGATGGGACATCGACTGGCAGATATTATCGCATAGCTCAGCGATCCAATAGGATTCCGCTGGGTGACTTCGACCTCAGAATGCTACCATGATACTCTCAGGAGATATAAAAAGGGTACAAAGAAAAAGACGTCGAGAAAAGTATGTATAAACAAGAAAGTAGACAAAAAGATCGTATAGAAAAGAACAAACAGACTCCATTGTTTAAAAAAGAATATTTAGAAAGAATGTAAACACAAATAGACCAAGAGAGTAGGAACATTTTTTTATTGTTTCAGATCGAAATCATAAACTGTATGGACTTATATTGATAGAGAGGTACAGTATTCTTCCAATACATAATTTTTTTTTGAATAAATTAATCAAAATTTCATTTTATTATAATAAAAAATTTTAATAAAATTGATTTTGATTAAAGCTTAATTTTATTTTCCAGATTAGTATATAAGACATCAGTAATTACTACGTCAACAATGGATGGTTTTAATAAATCATTAGACGAACTTTTACATTTTGCAGATACTCTTAAATTACGTGAAAAAGAACTCGAACAACAACATCTTTTAGAATTAGAAAAACAAAAAACTGAATATGATATTCAACTTCAAATTGAAAAACGACGCATTGAACAACTTCAAGACATAAATCGTACATTAACCGAACAAGTTGAACGTTCTACACAAAAACAAGTTGATTTAGAACAAAAATACACAGTAATTATCAAAGAAAAAAAAAATCTTTATCTATCTATATAAATATATTATTTTAGGTCTTACTTACAAAATATAATTGTTTAGTAGAAGAATCTAAACAAATAAAAGAATTACATAATGAAAAGAAAACTCGTATTGAAGAACTTGAAAAAATTGCTCGAATGTTAACAAATGAAAAAACAAAACTTGATAATGAAATAAAACAACTTAAAATTGATAATCAAATTTTAGAAGATAAAATTAAAGAAATACCACCACCACAACCACCACCACCACCGCCTCCAACACCACGTAAAAATAGAACAAAAATCTATATTTTCATTATATAATTACTTTTTTCTGTTTGCAGAACGTGTACCGGAAGAATTTATAAAATTAGTTGAAAATGCAGTTGCAGAAAATAGAGGATTAAAAAGTTTAGTAATTGAACGTGATAATGAAATTCAAAAACTTAATGAACAATTACAACGAAATCAAAATGAAGATCCACTTATTGTTGAACAACGTCTTTTACAATCAATTACAAAATTAAAAAATGATTTCCGAACAATGTATGAAAATCAAACAAATTTTTTTCTTCAAAAAATTGATCTACTTAAACAAGAACAACGTGATAATATAGCTAGTCTTTATAAACATTAATAATAGCATGTTGTTTTTTTTTTTTTGTGTACAGATATATATGTATAAAGAGAGAGATGTATATTTATTTACATGAGATTTCAGTAAATCGTTTTTGTACTGGATAAAAAGTAAACGGATTAAAGCAGACGATTAAGTATATCGAAGTTTTCACATACTCGAGTTCATGGTTGTATAATGTTCTAGATCTAGAAGGTTATTTGAATAGGCTTTTATCATTTTAAATTTTAATGATATTTTTGTAACAATTAGAAAAACATATTGTATCTGTTTGAGGAATGTTCATGGCAAGAACTTAAATAATTGTAGATAAAAAGAAAGAATCCATTTTGCATTTATCGAATGTTTTGATTCACAGAAGAGAATTTTAGTCAAGTGTTTTATTAATTACACGAAAATTTTTCGTTACAGTTTTAAATACAATTGTTAAAAAAATTATTGAATCTGTTTCACTGAAAAGCAATTCAAAATTTTGAAAAAGAACGATTCTTGCATTCGACATATTTTTTATTATTGAAAGACTATCAATATGATCAAAGAAAAGCAATGTGTTCTATTTTCTATTTATAAATTACAATCTTGTTGACGCAGAATCTATATCTTAATAAATGACTGTGACATGATTATTAGTATAGCACATACCGGATTATCACTTAGAAGAAAACTTTGTCCGTTACTAATTCGTCAACACAATATAACAAGTGCTTGACTGAAAGAAATTTTCAATTTCTTTCAAGAAAAGATCGCCAAATAATTTTCTGATTTCAATACAAAAACTTTTGGTTTTTGAACTTTAGCAACCTTGAACTAATTCCATATACTTCATGTACGAAAACTGCAAATATGGTAAAATGTTTTCATTTCTAAAACTGAACAAATATTACATGAAGAATGATTGTTATGAGAAAAATAAACCTATAAATAGTATACATTCTATCGTGAAAATAGGAGAGACACACAGATATTACAAGATATTGCAATTGACTTCTTCTTGACAAAAAAAGATTAAATTGATTTTTGAAAAAGTGAATAGATATCGTTCGATTTATTATTTTTTTTCATTATCTAAGACATCGTTATTTCCAAAAATGGTCTAACTTTTCTGCATGATTAAGATTGTTGGAATAGTCAAATACAATGTAAATGAAAATAAAGATTTGAAGAATATACGTAGGATATCAATTCATACTTTATTGTGTGTAATTTTTTGAATAATTTTTGTTAAAAGTATCAATGCAATAGAAAATATATGTTTATCTATTATTTCTAATCGATATTAATTGACAAAGAAGTTGCGCTTAATCTAACGGATAACCATACTTCAACGATAATCAAGTTATGTTCGCGATAAGGAAAGCTCGTTGGCAATAATCACTAGTATCTAGACACGGATAAAATACTATCAAGCATTTCTATATAAATGCAGTTTTATATCCGGTTTATTCGATTCATTTTCTTATAATATAATGCATACATTATTCATGATTAAAGTTAAGAAAAACAGCCTTAAATCACTCCATAACTCAATGTAAATGCAAACAAAATTTTGATCAAATTTTGTCGACGCAAGAATAATAACTCAACTGATGTTTTTTTAAATTCATTGAGTAAAATAAATACAGAATGATTGCAGAGAATCGACAAGTAAGTGTATCATTGCTACTTATTTTAGTTTTATTATTCAATATTATTCGTATCTTTGTACTAACTAAATCTGCGTAAAACATTTTATACGAATAAAAGTCTAGTATGATGATATTTCAGTAGACTTTCCAACATTTAGAAAAGATATTTTTTGTTAAACTATCTTTAGTTTTTTTATCTATATCCGAATAATGGTTCTGTTTTCAAAAATAGCTGATATATTGTTTATTGATAGTGTAGATCTATAACAAGATTCAGTTTATAGCTTGAAACGGTCTTACAATGTTTTATGTTGGCATTTATTGATCAAGTGTTCCACTGTGTTTCATGACATAGCGCAGTGACACTAAAGTTGATGTTCCTCACTATGAAGAAGTATTTCAATTTCTGACATGATATAGAATCAGACGATGGAACATATTTGGAGAACTGGGAATATCAACTTTAATGGTACTACATATTCACTATCAAGAAAAATCAAAGAAAACTATACGTTTTTGGTTTCTGTGTTTATTAAAATCTTTTGATATTTTGTTTCCTACAGATAGATTCATTGATATAAAATTTCGATTGATATTTACATGTGCTGCCCCTCCTAGTGTACGATTTGTCGATGCGTATAACCATTCTTGAATATTTATAGACATTCGGGTTTTTTTTCCTGTCATGGGAAAATGTAACTAAAATAAAAGAAAACCTTCGAATTATTTTTGTTTGTTATTTGAATTTTCTAAACTTCAATAAAAAATAAAATATTGAAACATTAGAAATTCTTATAGACGAATTATGTCATCCATATCATCTAATCGTCAACGTTACAGTCCAAAATACACCGAAATTTGTATTGGGAATATTAATAATCACACAGAACCTAGTAGTTTATTGTAAGTTTAGATTCTAAATCATTAAAAAATATTGACTTTTTCCTATAGAAAGTATTTTGAACAATATGGTAGCATCATACAATACAATTTTACTTCACCAACAGGTGGCTATGTTTTTATAACGTATAAAGAACCATCCATGGTTGATGCATGTATGAAATCTAGACCACATCATCTCGATGGTCGACATTTGTAACAATGAAATCATTTTATATATATATATGTATATAAATATAATTTCTATTGATTTCTTTAGATATGTTAAACGTGCTTTACCTATTGATGATGAACATCCACGTGAACGTTTTGAAACTACACGTGATCTTATGATTATAATTGATTTTGATAATAAAAACTATAATGATAAAGAATTTTTGACTCAACTTCGTGAATATTTTTCGTCATATGGAACATTATATGCTTGTAAATATTGTCATGAAACATATTTTAATTATATTCTTGTTGAATTTGCAGATAAAGGTAAGAAAAACCCAAAAGAAAATGAACATAAGAAAAAAAAAAACATAATTCAAAATTTATTTTTAGATCAAGTTGATCGAATTATTCTTGATAAACCGCATTATTATAATGAACATCAACTTAATGTTATGAAATGTATACCATCAAATATTGAAATCATGAATAAAAAATATTCATTAAATAAACAACAATCATTCATGATAATAAAAGATGCAATTGATGATGATAGTTATGATTATATAAAATCTCGAAATAATTTCAATAAAAACGATTCAATAGCAAAAGAACATATTAGTGAAATTGACTTGGAAAATGAAGTATATCGTCTTCAGAATATTTTAAAAACAATGAACGAAGACTTTGCTACTAAACGACAACAACTTGAAGACCAATGTTCAGAACAATTAAAAAAACTTGATGCAGATACTAATCAGACTAATCGTTTACAACAAGATCTAGAACAAGGTAAACAGTTTCTTTAGTGCTTTTGAGACTCGTTTTCTTATAAATCATTGCTTCGATTTTTAATGATTTTATGGATGTACTATGTTGATGTAAATAATTGATAGTGAGTCATCAACATTAGGTACACTGGGGTTAAAGCCGGCACGATCTCAATCCAAATAGTTTGAACCTAACGCACTATATCTAAGCACTGATTACATTGACATACGTATTCACTGAAACACTAAGACACTAGCTCTATCAAAATATGCCCTTTTAATATCGATGTGTATCAGAGCTGGGCACGTATTTGCACTCGAGGGGTCGGTAGTTGCACTTGAGCAAACTCGTGCTTGTCCAGTTCTGATGCGCATCAGTTTGCTGCTATAGTCAGTGTTCACTAGTTACATTCATTTAGTGATGTCGATGGTCAGTAAACTGAAACTGTACGTCCCTATATGATTATGATTACTTAAAGAGGTTTTTGTAATGTACAGTTAGGTTCTATGAATTAGTCAAGTATTTTTCAATCAAGCTTTTAGTTCCGTTCCATCGTTCTAGATTTTTTCATAATCTGATACGAACTAAAACTCTATTGTAAATATTCAATAGCGAAAGTCAATAGTTAGTCATTAATAGAAAATTTCGTACGCTGTTATCTACTTGATGATATTATTGAGAATATCAATTCTTTCTATGAAAATGTAAAGCATTGAGCATCAAAATCAAAAATTAAGATTAGAATATTTTATAATTGAATACAAAATGGTTTCAGCCATGATTTCTTGCCTTAACTATAAAGAATAAGTAAATTTAATCACAGACGTACTCTTCTTTTCTATATTCACGTTATTATTATTACAAATGATCAAATGTAAATTAAGCTTCAACGTAGTTTAAGTAAATGTAGCCAAGAAAAAAAAATTTAAATCGAAAGAATTATTTTTGATTGTTAAACATGATAATTATACTTCAGTTCGTACAGTTCTCGTTAAGATGCCGATGAGAACTGATTAATGTCAACGGTTTTAAACGAGCTGAGATCAAGTTCACAAGTGTCAATTCTATTGATTTTCATTGCAATCGATTTGAATGAAAATCTTTATTTAATACCAAATTATACTTCGAATTAATCCATCATAAATAACTTTATCTTAATTAGTGATCAATTTCAAGATATTTTCATCTCTTGAACTAGATAATCAAATATCTCTTTCTTGAAATTCTATTTTTCATACATAAACCAAATCAAAAGTTCTTAGAAATTCGTACTTACAACTTTAGAAACGTAAATATTACAATTCGATTAGATCCTATTACTTGAAAATAAATTAACTTCCCCAAACAATTTGATTTTCTTTTATTTTTTGCAGAATATGCTAAATTATTAGTTGAATATGAATCAATGAAACATGAAAATGAATCACTTAATGAACAATATTTAGCAGCTGAATTAGAAAATTTTGAAATAACATCATATTATGAACAAATTCTTTCCGAAGAAAAAGCTAAAACAATTCAACTTGAAAATCAATATACACAAAAATT